GCAGGAAAGGATGATGAACCACTGGGATTTATGGATTGAAGGGAGTGCTGGGCCTGCTGGGTCGGTGAACCCTTGGGTTTGGGCTTGTATCCTGGCGGGAAACCGTGGAGTTTGTAGCATCGATTCACTGTGTGTCCTGTAATCCCACAGTGAGAGCAAATGGGCCGGTCACGTCTCGGCTTTCCTGGAGAAAAAGAAGCGGTGATGGTGTCTAGTGTCAGAAGGGGAGGTGGCGAGGAGGAAATGTTGAAAGCCACAGAATCAGCCGAAGATGTAGATCTAGGGCCACTCGAGCGCTGTCGCTCTTCCTGAACAATAAGATTAAACACTTTTGAGACAGAGGGCATGGGATCAATCATCAGAATTTGACCACGCATTCCGGCGTAGGATTTGTCGAGACCCATCAAGAATTGCATTACGTATTCTTCTTGTTGATAGTCCATCCAAGATTTCATACCACCGCATTGGCAAACTGGGATAGGTTGAAAATTCTTGAGTTCATCCCAAAGAATCTTCAATTGGGTGTAGTAAGTGTTGATGTCGAGAGATCCCTGAGTAAGAGCATGTAGCTATTGCTTGATCTGAAAAATCTGTGGAGCATTACTCTGATGAAACCTCTCATGGAGATCCGACCAAACGGCCTGAGCAGATTCAAGATAGAGAAGACTATCTGCTATCTCCTTGGACACGGCATTGAGCAGCCATGATGTAACCATGCTATTACATTGAGACCAAATGCCGGTAGAAAGGTCCTCGGAACTTGGTTGCTGAAGAGATCCATTAACAAAACCAAGCTTATTTTTGGCGTTGAGGGCCATAAGCACGACATGGCTCCAAGTGTTGTCATTCGGACCGGTGAGGACATGAGAAACGAGAGCCAACCCAGGGTGGTCACCACTGTGAAGGAAGTAAGGACTGTGAATGTTATCCATGGTGGGAGAGTTCAGATTGTTTTGGGGTAAGGTAGTAGTAGACGAAGAATGAGGAGGAGTGAGAAGTTGAAAACGGTTATTGTTGTTATTATTTTGACCTCCACAAGCCATGGTCAAGGAAAAAGAAAAGGAATATAGGAAGAAGAAAATGGAGGAGCAACAAAAGGTAATCGCTTTGATACCATATTACAAGAGACAAATTGATACAAATAGAGTTGGTTAGCTAACAAACTCTCTCTCTCGAATATTCTACAATTTTGTTTTATTTACAACTGACATAACAGTAAGCGGGAAAAATAGAGAAAAGAAAATAGACAAATTCTCTAAATATGCTAATATGTATCAGGGACATGCGCTATATTTAAAAATTCTTTGCCTATTTGTATTCTATCTCAATTTGCCTTTTGGTTTCTTGTGTGGATAGACTGTGTAACTCTGTGTGTAACTCTGTGTTTGTTAATCTGCTTTCGTAGTTGTTTCTTTTAATTTGATCTATAACTTTCGCTGGTCGTAGGTTGGGCCATTTACATTTGAGACAAAGTTTCAGCCACATCTTGTCTGGACTCTTAATCAGGTTGGCTTTCTTGTCTTTGAAAATATGCTGCTTTTGGTAATCTTGATTCTTGTTCCTGTAATGGGAAACGACTGATTTTGTTTCTCTTTGAAATTCCTTAGTTGTAGAAGAAAACCCGCAATCTCTAGGTCACAAAAGTTTTGGTTTTGACAAATTTTTGTTGTTGAAAAATTTGTAGAAGAAAAACTGCATCGGTGATATCCTCAAAGACACCAAGTTATGTTATGTTTCTTTGGGGGTTTTTTCACTCTTTTGGTTCTGTAAGTTTATTCCACCGTTTGGTACCTCTTCAACCATTGTGGTGTTTATAACTGGTTTTGAAAATTCTTGCTATTTGTCATTATACTTGTATAAGGTTGCGAGAGCCATTCATGTTTAATCCTGGATGCTAAAATTGCTATGGATGTTGTACTACGACTTAAGATAAATTCATTAATTCACATCTCGCAAGACTTTCAAAAACTATTTCGAAATGAAGCTAAATGGTGGTCCTTGTTTGTAAGATTGTGATTTACTGTGCAGTTGGTACAATGTTGCATGTAATTATTTTACTTTGTTGTAAAACTACTTGAGCTCTAATTTTCTGCTCATATTGTTTGACAAAAATCTTGGCAATGACAGGGAAGCACTGACTTAGAGGCTATTATGATCATAAAGAAGCATGGGGGATCCCTAAAAGATTCATTTTTAAATGAAGGGTGGGTTATGTAGAATTTATTTCTTATGTTCTATTTTCATGTTGCAATTATTACAGAAAAAGTGAAGATCTATGTGGCAATGTTCGTGTTGATTCAATGTCTAAGGTTGCTGAAATTAAAGGGGCTGACAAAGAAAAGATGATAGAAAGTTCAGAAGATAATAGGTCATGACATAAACTACTTTGTTAACTGACAGTTGATTTACAATTTCCCAGAGGAGCTCTTTGCAGATGCTGGAATACTTGCAATTGAACATGCTGATTTTGCATAATTTCAATGACCATTATGTTTTTAGTTGCAATACAAGTCCTTTATGTAGTACTCTGCTTATGCTTATTTGTTTTAATGCAGGAAGTGCTAAGAATGTCTACTACTGGGAAAAGAAAGTTATGTAAAAAGGGATTTGCAATTGAAGATAAAGACCAGCAATTAGTTCTTGACTCACCAGCAAGGAATACTAGAAGCTATGTAAAATTTTGAAGGGGTATGAAAACTCTCTACTTAGTACCAATTTATTTTAAGCATACCATTATATGTAGACTACATGCTCATATACTTAAAAGTATTTAGGTGTAGTCGTGAAGCATCTATAATCTTTAAAGTTTCTCAGCGATTTTGACGTAGCTTCTCAAAGGTTAGTATTCCTTTATCTCTGACTCTCATGATTGTATGTCCATTACTGAAAATGTGACATACTTTGGACATTAGAATTTTAATTGTGCTGTTACTTCGCAATCAAGATGAAATTTGTTTTGCTGGACTAATTTTGTGATAGGTCAATAGTTGCTTTGTTGGTGGAGATAACTTTGTTGTTGGAGCATTTTGTGAAGATGGATTATTTACTTAACCATTTCATTTGGCTAGATGTTTTGGATACTTTGATATCTCTACAAATTTCATCTTGGTTAAGTAAATAATCCATCTTTTGCTTATATGATTGTGATAGCAAGTT